AGATCATTTTGAAACAAAATTGATAGTTTATAGATCATTCTAAAAGAAAAAATTGTTTCTAGACTAAACTGAAATAAATCACATAGTTAATAGACTATTTATTAAATTTAGCCACAAATAAATTATAGCCTTATGTCTTAGCATTCTATAGGATCAAGAGTCATCTTAATTCGATATCTACAGAGAAAGTTATGGCCAAAATACTAACTTAGGGTTAGGCTGCCAGTTCTGTCCACTTTTGGGAAATGAAACTTGCAGCAAGGTTTTCACCATGAAAACAGCCTAATTGGGTTAAACATCCAACAGAAAAAGTGTAGGACTATCTCTTAACTTTCTACAAAATTAAGAATAAACTTAATTTGATATCTACAAAAAAGACTTATGAGCAAAACACTACTGCAAGGTCATGCTGTCAGAATTTCTAGCAAAAGAAATCAAATCTGGTGGCACTAGGGCAAAACCAAGGAGGAAAACTATAGAAATCCCAAAATTGAAAACCCTAAAAGATTAGAGTTAACCCAATTCAAATTAAGGTTCAAAATATAAGCAATAAGGATAATTTCTTACTAGAAAGTTGTAGAAGGAGCACCTATTGGGCATTCAAATCACAGACAAGGAAAGAAGAACAAAAAATAGCGATCTTAATGAGAACAAGTGGCATCAAAGATAGATTAAGAGGTTGAGAGCTTCAAGAGTTTTGAATTTAGGATGGAAGAGGAGAGGAAAACCATAAAAAGAAGAAGAAACGACCCAAAAAAGGAAATTAGGTTTTCCTTCCCCTTAAATCTGTTCATGCTCCCCCTCTCCTTTTTTTTTTTTTGCTACTATCGTCCCCCAAGATTGAAGAGTTAAACAACTTGGTCCCCTATTAAAATCCCTTTTTATATTCATCATCTCATACCCTAATTAATTAATTATTCCACATGAGTGCTAAAAATTTGGAGTATTACAGTTATAGTATCTCCTAGTTTAGCCTAGCCTAGCCTAGCGATTTGTTAGATTAAGGTTATTTTTAACAAATTTTCTTTAAATTTTTAGTTTAGTATAGAAGTAGATTAGCATTCCCCCACAGATATTCTTGTTCATAGTTGGTTTAGTTTTTGGTTAGATTAGTTTCCAAGACATTTATGTTATTTTGTTGTTTGCTTCTACTTGATTTTCCAATTATTAAACATTCAATTTAAATTCAAATAATTTTAGTTTAATTCAAAGTCTTTTGTGTTTCCACTACAATTTATGCTTTGGTCAACTTTTAACTTGTTGCATTTTCTAGAATTGTGTCAAATTTCATTTTTTGCCTACAATTTGTGTTGTTACTTAGCTATATTTTCTGTACTTTCTTTTAATTAATTTTTGTACTTGTTTTTAGTTTTTGTCTCTTTGACACCTTAGTTTAATTTTTTTATGATACTAGTTTATTATAACCAAAGTTCTTGATGTGCTTTCAAGGCAAGTTTGAACTCATTGTGCAAGAACTAATCTCTCATTTCTGCCAATCATCTGATTTAGGTGCATTATATTTAAACTAACATTCTTCCAACAACTTCTTTCATAGGAAAAAATGGAGTAGAAGAAGAGGGTCATCTGCAAATCCTTTTCTTGCTTTTCTTGCAAAAGTAGGTGGCAGGGCTTCCATTCCAATTGCTACTATGAGGTGTGGTTAATAGGATTTTAAGGGTAACAGGTATCAAAATTAATTAATTCTAATTTTATTTAAATAATTGAAATTAAATAATTTGAGTAAACTAATTAAAGAAAAATTAAATTGACTTTAAGTGACACCAAAGGTTGATATTCTAAGATATCTAATTTCGCCATAGTCAACTAATATAGATTGTAGATTAATATACTTCCAAGGTTTTTATTACTTATATGATAGTAAATTTTCTATCTTATATGATATACTTTCTTAAATTATATCAAGCATATCTTCACTTATTAATCCACTATATCTATATGTAAATTTAAATAGATAAAGATGCATTATATCTTGTGAAATTCTCTAATTTATGTAGAAAATGAAGTTTACTTATCACTAATACATCATGAATCACATTATTCTATTTTTGACTGTTGTTCAATTCATGGTATATTAGTAGAAGTTATTGTATAAGCAACGACCTGTTAGTCCAAATAGAAGTAGCTCAGTTCCCCTTAAGTAAAGTCTTGAGTAAGGTTTTGAGTTCGAGTTTTGTGAATGGAAAAACAAGTTTTGGGACAACTTCCTCCTTTGTGGGTCCAATACGGCTCAATTTCAAATTAGTCGAAACTCAAAGTGGCTTTTGAATACTAGAAGGTTAGTACCAAAAAAAAAGTTATTTTACAAAGTCTCCTCTCAATCTCAATTATACTCTCCAAAACAATTTTAATAGTGGTCAATCATTAAAAACCATTAAGAATAATAATATATATTATACATGAAATACTAAGTTTTGAAAATATAAAAATTATAAAATTTATATCAAATTAACTACACTGTATTGTAGCTTTAGATAGCTAAATTAGTTTATAATTAAAGAAAAGAAAATTAAATATCCCCTGATGAATATTCAATATCATAAAACAAAATTCAAGGATAAGTAAAACTAGTTTGATAATATAAAATCTCAAGTCTTAATCTTATTTTGATATTGAGTTCTTCTTGGCTATATCTCTCTTTGTCTCCTTAAAAGCTCCCGAGTCTGGTTTTGAATTGGTATTTATAGAGTTTAAGAAATCTTATTAGAAAAGAAGTAGGACCTGTTATAAAAGTAAAAAATTTTAGAGCTGAAAGGGTGTTTAGTGTCTAACACTAGAATGTAAGGGGGTGTTTGGTAGGTGGGAAAGTTTCATCTCTAAAGTTTTCTAAACTTTCTCTTTTACAAAGTTATTTTTATATTTTTTTGCATATTAATACTATAACAAAAGAAAGGTAAAAGTGATGTTTTTAATTTTTATTTTTAATTTGGAAATGTTTCTTCTTGCACTTTTGATAGTGTTTTTGGGTCCGGTCCGGTTGTTAAACCGATTTGGCTATTGGGTCTAGTTGAATCGGTTGAATCTATTGACCCAACCGATTCAATCGATCAACTAAAAAATAGTGTTTTTTGACAAATTTATTATGTTTTACTATTGTATATTACTTTTATTTTATTCCTAAGAAATAGTTATCATAAGATCAACTTGAAAATCATCATTTAAGCTATTTAAAATAATAAATTTAATTAAATACATATAATTTTTAAAATTTAAATTAATAAATATTAAAATACATAATATAATATAAGTTCATTAAGTATGATAATAAAAAAAAACTCAATTTTAAATTAAATTTACTACAAAATAAGTTTTAAATATAAAATAAAGTTTCAAACCAAATTTACAAATTCACTACAAAATAAGTTTTGAATCTAAAAAAAAGTTTCAAATCAAATCCACAATGAAAATAAATGTCAAATAATGATTTTTTATTATTAAGCAATATATATCAATTTTTTTTAAAAAAAATAATTTAGAGTTAAATTTAAAAATTTTAAGAATTAAATTAAAAGTTCTTTTAATTTAAAGATCAATTAAAGAGTTTGAATAATAGTTCAATTGAAGAGTTTGCATAATAGTTAAGCGGCAAATTGAGGGTTTAATCATAAAAGAAAAAAAAAACAAAAAAAAAAAAGAAGTTGCACGTGGTAGATAAAAGGTACAAGTAAGATGCACTTTCCTCCTTTTATGGTTTGTTTCTATTTTCTAATTGAAGATAATTACAATGTTGGTCGAAAATGCTGTGGTGTCCGATTTGTTTACTGGCATTATTATTGCCGAAGTAATATTTGCGTTGCTTCAACTTTGGCAAGAAACGACAGAACAAGGCCTCAACCAGGTGAGTCACATCCGAAAACATGTTTGGTTGCATGAAAATAGTTGTTTTGAGATCGGAGATGCTTTTGTTTTGTTTTTGGTTTCCATTGTTGTTCGTTGGAGGAAGGCAAGGAAGATGAGTTGCGAAGGATTGGAAAGGGCTGCCGACGGTGGTGGTTAAGAGCAGATGCAGATCTGTTTTGCTATTGCTGCTCTGTTCGTGTTGCTGTTGTTCGGTGGAGGAAGGCAAGGAAGATGAGCTGCGAAGGTTGTCTAAGGGGCTGCCGACAGTGGTGGTTGAGAGCAAGGAGGTCGATGAAGGAAGGGGATCTATTCTGTTCTTGAACTTTCTTCTTCTTTCTATTTTCTGCAATGTTTTTGGACTGCCGACTGTTGCCCAGCGGGTTCAATGGGCGGAACAGGCCAAACGGGTGGAGTAGGGCAAATGGGTTGGAGTGGACCAAATGTCAAAATGGGTTGAAAGTTGTATCCGGCCCGTTTTCAAGCCCAAGTTTGGTTGAACCAATTCAACAGACCGGGCCAGATCGGGCCTTAAAACAATGCTTCTTGAAGAAAAAAAGTTAAAAACTTATCAAAAACAGAAAAATTAAATATTTAACAAAATTCTAATAAGACTTCACTATAAAACTTATTGATTTTTTATATAATATTTTTTAAACATTTTCTTAATAAAAATTTTCCTAATAAAATTAGCTTTTTAACCAAATAGGTTACATAAACACTTCTACTTATTTCACGCAAAACTTGTTATTGTAAGGCTTAATGTATGGTGTTGGCTCTGCAATGTGGGTGTAGACAAGAAACCCATGTCGGGTTTACCCTCCTGCAATTTTCTTCAGTAGTAAAATAGTAGATCTAATCCGTCAGCTTTTATACAATGAGCACTTTGATCCCATAACTTTTGAAAGGAAAGTTTCTTCTCACAATTTAGTCCCTAAACTTTTTAAAAATATTCAATTAATTTCAGAAACTACAAGTATTATGCATTCAAGTCTTTTTCTACATAGAAAATGAAAATTATGTAAAATTTTCTACACAAAAAATGAAAATTATGTAAAATTTATTGAAAATCACATCTTATCCATTCAAATAACAACAAAATTAAGGCTAAAATAATACATTAATTCATATCAGATACATCTCATCACCCTACATGTAATATGTGAGAAAGACATTGCATAAAAAAGTGCAGCTCAAGACCATAATAGTTTTATGACAAGGAAAAGTTGAACTCAAACTAATTTCTCCTTTTTGTTTTCCTTTTTTTTTTTTTTTCATTCGGTCAAGTTAAAAAAACATAAAAGGATTATCAGTGTTAATATTTTCTCTTACCAATTAAATTGCTGCACACTTTGTTTGTTATAAAAAAAATCTATTGATTTATTCTACAAGAATGAAGGTAAAGTAAAGAAATTAGCGTTTTAAGGTTTAGTTTTAGGTTAATTTGGCTAAAAAATAATTTTAACTTTAATAATTATTTTTTAAGAAGTAGAATATTGAATTTAATTAAATTAATTTTAAAGTAACCACGTGTCCAAAAAGAGCCGCCTCACCACATGTCCAAAAAGAGCCGCCTCACCACATGTCCAAGAAAATAGCATCCAATTTTTTAGATTTGGTTTGTACCATAAAAAACATCCAATTAAAGAAACCACGTGTCCAAGAAAGAGCCACCTCACCACATAGTTTGGCAGTTATCAAATGTGGCACAACCCTTGTGTTCATTCTTGTTGGCAGTTTGGAGAAAATGATGAGATATTTCTCTTTATGTGTAGATATCCACTCATATATAAAATTTACACGTTATATTTATTTAAAATCTTAATTATTCATATTTTTATTTTTAATTATAGAGATTTATCATAATTTTTTTATAAAAAAAAAGATAATTATTTTAATAAATATGATAAAAAACGAATAAATTGACCATTGAAAGAAGAGAAACGAATGGTCAACATTTTGTATATATATAATGTGTAAGATTTATGTATAAGTAAATTTTTATTTATTTTGTATTAAATGAGTGTTTAAGAAGTTAATTGCAGTATTCAAGGAAAAGTTGATGGAGTAAAACTTAGTGGTTTGTAAATAGAACACATTTTAGGAGATATGCAAACAGTTGCCAAACCCCCAAGCCCTTGAAAACCGAGTCGAGTTTATCAGTTGTTGTTGGACTTGGTTCAACTAAGGTTTGTCAATTCCAGGCTTAGCTTAGCTCAACATAGTTGAAGTCTAGGTGAAATTTTAACAAGTTTCAAAGAAAATTACACTAGATCAGGTTACAAATACAAGAATTCATGGCCTAAATCTGTAGGCCTACTTCTCTGACTCTCTCATCAACATCTATGTAACAAAATGACTTAGCTCAACATGCTAAGCTCCGAGCAAGAGGCTCTGTCCTCTCTTAACACAACTTTATATGTCTTAGCCAAGTTCTTACTTCTAAGATTCGAGACAAGCTCTCTCCTTTTTTTTTTTCTTTATTGTAATTGTTTGATACAGGATTTGTTTCTTTGCTTTCTTAGGTTTGCCTTTATTGGTTTCTAGTTTGCAAATCAATCAACACATTCAAGATCTATCATTTTATTCAATTCATGTTTTTTGCAATTATTTTCAGTTATGTTATGCAATATGATTTCGTTAAATTTCAAAACTCTATGTTACTTTTCAAGAAACTATGCAAATAAATATGTTAACTTTGCATTTTTTTTTTATTTAATGATGTTAATTTTGTCAATTTTTAAATAATGATACAAATTTTTATTTTTTTTATTTAAAAATATCAACTTTCAACTTTTTCTATTTAAAGATGTTATCCTTTTTTAAAATATTGTTTGCCACATCAACATTACTATCCAATTAATCAATAAAAAAAAATTGAAAGTTAACATTTTTAAATAAAAAAAATTAAAAGTTGACATTATTAAATATAAAAAAGTTAAAAATTTACATCATTATTTAGAAACTATCAAAATTAACATTATTGTGTAAAGTTAACATCTTTATTTATATATTTTCTCATTTACTTTTCAAGAGATTTGATTGTTTATTCTATAAGTAATTCACTCTAATCTGTAGATTTAATTTTCCAACACGTTGCAAGTTTACTTTTAGTCTACGAATTTAATTGCAATATCTAAATATAGTTCATTTAGTCTTCTTAGTCTACTCAATGTCTACTTTTAGTTGTTTATTTATAGTCTTCTAGCGTAACTCATAATTAAAGTTTAGGTTCCCCTTCACCTTAGACTAGTCTATTTCTTTATGTGCGTTCTACTACATTTGTTAACTTATTAACTTGTCATTTTTTAGCTTCACCATGTCTTTATTTTCCTTTAAGTTTACTTATTAACTTATTAAATTAACAAACACATTAATCTTACTGTGGGAAGTCAGAACGATTTTCTAAGGCATTGTTTTAAAACTCATTTGTGTAGAGCGCATCCCTACGTTCTGCCATATAATTTGACATTCTTCCAGCCATCCTTAACAAAGGTCATCAAAAAAGTTTTTTCACTTGCTTTTCATATAAAGTAAGTAGCACGTTTAAGCACCCTACCAAATGTAAGCCAAAAGCAGAATTTTTTGATAAACAAATTTCAGTCAACATTTAATTAAATGATAATGTTACAAGTATAATGCCATACAGCTACGCATTGAGCCAATAGCACCCCATTTAGGGTCAATTTTGGTGGAACTAAGGACAGTGATTGGTACACCCTTCGATTTAATACTTGATTCAACACTTGGTTCAACACCTTTCGGTTTAGTCATTAAAAAATCACTATTTTTTAGTTTGAAATTAAAAACAGACAAGTATAATGATACAATCATACACAAAGGATACAGGAACCGGTTGAATTGACTGCACTTATATTATATTTTTAATGATTAAACCGAAAGGTGTTGAACCGAGTGTTGAACTAAGTGTTGAACCGATGAATGTATCAATCATTTTCCTGGAACTAATCCAATGTTTTGAGTAACTAATTTTGTCTGGTTTAAAGTTTTTGTAATTTTCTAATTGGAAAAAGGAAAAATCAAGACTTTTAACATTATAAATGTCAAGATGTCTAATAATAGTTACATAATAAATTTGATAAAATTAGAACTTATACTATATCCCATAAATTTAGTGGTTGTGATTGGACGTTCTAACATTTTAATGTCAAGATATCTTGATTTTCTCTTTTCTCTTCTTAATTTTGAAAAATTTTAAATTTATTATAAATGAAGGCAAAGCAAACTTAATTATCAATAATAGGAAACACAATCTTATTTATAATTTGACTATTGAACTAGACCAAGATGTTGGCCAAAAGAAAAAGCAAAAAATTTTAATTGAGATAAGATTTCAAGAATCTTCTTTTGATGTTAAAACAAAGAAATATGCAAGTACTTACAGTTGTGGTTAGTGTTAGAGAATGCTCAACAAGTCAACTAGATTAGCAAAACATTTAATGTACAAGTGATTACAATATGATAAAAGGATGATATTGTTAATCAAATATTAATTGTTATTCTTTTGTACAATTAAACATCAATAAAGTCTACAAAATGGTTGGCTATATCCAAAGGTAACGACAACGTTTGTTGTTAATAAGAATTGTAAGATATCATAGCACTGTTCTTAAATTGTTTTTAGTCAAAAACGTTATTGAGATGAGACATTAATTAATGTACAAAACTAATACATGGTAAGATTTTACTAGGTGGCAAGACTTCTTCTCATGAAGTCATGTCTTACATGTGGGTGCTCAATATAAGTTAGTGCATTGGATTGACCTACCATGAGAACCCTACATGCAATTGTTATTAGTAGTTTCTCATCTATAACACAAGTGTAAGTAGTCTTTTAACTTGAAATAGTCATATTATTCTATCTAAAAACTCATGGACTTCGACACTATTAAAAACAGTCTCTGAGTGATTCTGAGTAATAAAATCATTGGGTGTAGAGGGATTGTGAGTAAGTCATGATAGAATTACAATGGGCTTCTATTTTAGAGCTTTATCGTGCATTTAAGACTACTATGAGGTACTATGGTTGTAGTTATGACTATGATTGTATTTGTGGCTATAGTTGTACTGAATTGTATAGTGTTGTAGTTGTAACTAAAAGTTATTCTGGTCTTTGGTTATTTTTTCTAAAAAGTATTGTGGATGACATATGATAAATTTTATTAATTGTTGATTAAAATTTAAAAATTTGTTGGATGTGTAATTACTAAAATAAACAACATGTGTTGGGAGAGCTTCCTCTTTTATGAGGTTTGACCTAATTTGACTTAGTTTGACTCTAGATACGTCAATGCCTAATGTAACTTTCAAATACTGAGAGGTTATTACAAAATAAAATAATTTAGGTTTTTAGATTTTTAGGTTTCTTAAAATGAGTGTTCTTTTGGGTTTTCTAGGAGAGCAACTTACCAAGAGAAAATGAATTTTTTATTTTTTGTGAAATCTTTAAATAAATGAGAGGTTAGGTTTAAATAAAATATTATAAATTGTAATGTAATTGAATTAAATGAAATTAGGCTTTAATCTGTAATTTTGTAAATATATTAAATATTAGGTGTGTTTGTGAAAATCACAATTAAAAGCTCTAAAACGAGATTTCTAACTTTATAAATAAAATTATTGCAAACCTTACAGCTTTTAGAAACATAGTTTGAAAAAAAAAATGATCTAACACACACATATATATAAATATTATATAGTTATATATAAAAAAAAAAAGAATATGATTGCAATTCCAAATGTATTCTTAATCTATTATGTATAAATAGCTATTCTTTATAAGAAATAGGAACAGAAATTACAAGTTCTTTTTTCTCTTGTTGGTATTGCTCTTTCAATTCCTTTGGTTCATATTTTATCTACCTTCATATTATTTCATAATAAATTTCACTTAATTTAAAGAAAAAGTATAATGAAAATTTTTCTATTTAGAGCAATTATAATGAGTTTTTTTTTTTTTATTCTCTTCAAAAATAGAAAAAAAAAAGACAAGTTTAACTCTTTGGCCCATTAGAGACATGTTAGGATATATATATATATATATATATATTTTATAGTATAAGGTAAATGGTTCAATCGAAATGGGGTGAGAAGGGAGATTACACAAATTCAAACCATTGTCAACGGGTAAAAAAAAATTTTACATTTGAATATTTCATCAATGAGTCTCAATGCCTTCCATAGACAGGTTAGAGTTTTGTTTCAAGGTTATAATGGACTTTTTCTTACCTTTTTTTAATTTGCTTAGGACTTGCATCATGTTAAGCAGTGCAATTCCCATTAGGGGTGGGCTAAAAAATATGTAATTAAAAAAATTTGAAAACTAGCAATACCATAACTAACGGGTAAGGTTTGATTGGATTTTGGATTTATTTGATTAAAAACTGAACCAAAATTATTATAAACGGTTTGGGTTTTGGTTGCTAAGTCTAAAAATTAAAAAATGGATAACTAGAGTAAATATAGCAAAAAAATCCAAATCAAAAACTTTTTATATAAATTTTTTAATAATTTTTAGATTTTTTTAAAGGTTTTTTAGTCACTTTTCATCAAATTACTTATTTATTTGGATAATTGTTAATCTTTTAGTGATTGAAATTGATAAAATAATAAATAAGATATTCAAAAATTCACTATATATATATAAATCTTTTGGTTAAAATTGAAACTGATCTATATAATTACTCTCAAAAGTGTTACAGGAACTGCTAAAATTCATATCTTTTTATTTGGTTAATGGTTATTAAATTAAAGCTCGAAACTTTGATTTACTGGTAAATCAGTTTCGGTTGTAACCAAAACCCAACCCTAATTCCCATGGGTCAGCTGTTGGATTAAATGATCCAACTGTTGATATTTTAATTTTTTTAAAAAATTTTATTCAAAATATTTTTATTTAAAGTAAGTTAAATAAAATAATATTAGTATAATTTTTGAGAAAGTTATTGTTTCTTTAAAAATTCTTGACTACTTCTGTCATATGAGTCTAGATTTAGAGTGTATTGCTCGTTTTGTCTAAAAAAAAAAAAAAATAGGATTTCTTTAAAAACCTTTTACTTTCTAACAATTGATCTCTAAGTAGAATAATTGAAAAATATGTCTGTCTATTAATTGTTTTGTGTCTTAGACAATGTTGCAAAATAAATGATGGTTACTTGAAAAATGGGTTACTACTTGTTTTGAACAACTTTAGAGATTTTAAAACCACAAAAATAAATAAAAAAGCTACTAATTTTAAATCAAACATGGTATCCCAAAAGAATTAATCTAAAACAATGTGAAAACAACAAGCCATCAAGATAAATTTGTAGACAACAGCACAAACCTATTGACTATAGTTATGACTATGCAGGCCATACTAAATTTCAAAAATAAAATCATAATAATTCCAGATTAAAGTATGATCAATTAACCTACTTGATTGACGATTTAATACTAAATTAGGCCAAAACGCAAGCCAGGTTGAATTCTAAAAGCTAATCTAGTGTTTATGTTCAACATAGAATAACACTAATTAACCTACATGAGAACCAAAGTTAGGAACTTAAATTGAAATTTGGAAATCGATGATACCTACTATTAAATGAACATCCAAAGGAAACAACTTCTACAAAGCATGAACTTTGCATAGAAGAAATCATGGTGGCAGTAAACAAACAATCCTAAAATAAAACACTTTAAAGGAGTAGAATCCACCATAAAATTACTAACCAAATAAATGAAAGAGTCCCAAATTAGAAGATTGGTTCACTTCCAAGTTCTATAATCGATAGTAACAAAAACACAATAAAGAACAAAAAAATCTATGAACTAAAATTTAAAAATTAACTGATTCGAAAATTCTATAATCTATGCAGAAAATAGTAAATGGATTCAAAATTAAAGTTAATACGAGCTGGGTAGCTGGGTGTTTTTTGAAAGGGACATGTCTTAAGAAACTGAATTTTTTTCTTGTTTTCCTTTTCTTTTTTTTTTTTTGGTTCCCCGCTCAGTATCCGGGGCTTCCCCCCAATTAATCCAGATCTAACCCGCATCGCGCACCTGAAAATGGTGAATGAGTCTTCCATCAGGGCTGTTGCATACACAAAATCTCAAACTTGAAATCTTACTTAAACTGAAAAAAATCGCTTACCATTTGATCCAACCCCTCGTTGGTTGTTTTCCTTTTCTTTGAAGCTAGGGTACGTGTTCCATGTTTTGCACCTGGAAGTGGGACTCCCACCCAAACTCAAATAGAGTCCTCCTATAAATCCTCTTAATTTTCTAATTTGAGTTAAACTCAATTAAATGAAAAAATATGCTTTATCCCTTGTCACGTGGCAGCAGCTCACCATTTACCTCCTAAACTTCAGACTGCAAACAAGCGGCCTCCAGATCAGCACATAGGCCGGTTGACACAGCACACATCGAACCAATAGCTGGGATCCAGTTTGGCACGTGGCTCTCATTCACTGATTTTTTTGATTTTTTATTATTTATATATACATAAGTATTAAACTGTGCGTTACGATTCACTAGCACTGAAATTAAGATCGTTTACAACCAATAAGTTATATGTTTGAATCTCTTCTTTCCTGCTTTAATTTTTTTTTTAACAAGGTTACAATTATGATAGAGGGAGGAATCGAATCTCGGCCTTTAAATTAAGGGATACATTTTATAAGTCAACTTATGACCGTTGAATCGTGAGGTCCAAGTGTCTTTCTTGCTTTAATTAATATGTAAATAATGAAGAGATGTCTTATCAAATTTTTCATTTAAAGATTAAATATATATAAATATATAAAATCAAGCCTTTGGTCCAGTGATTCAATTTTTAAGTTTAATACTTGAGTTTAGTTAAAGGTTTTATATTTGAAAAAAAAATTATATATATAATATAAAATTTTATATAAAGTACTGAAAATGCGAAATAAATATTGTTTTTAGCTCCCTTTAATAGTTTCTTAGGTACCCTTCCCTCTCAAATCCTGATTTTTGCAATTGGAACGGGACCCTAATGGGAACACAGTTGAAAGCGGTATCGATTTCCTCTCCCTGCCGCAAGCGTCTTCTCGCCGACCTTCCCAAGCCCAATTCGGCAGCGCCGCCGAATCCTCTGCCGTACAAGAAAACCCGGGATCTGCCCAATTTGTCTGAATGTCATTCGTGCAACTCTCGAACCGACGTGGCCACAGGCAGAAATCGTATTCAATTTCTGTACAGCGAATGGCGTATTGTCCTGCTCTGCAGACGATGTCTCTCCTGCGTCCAGTCATCGGAAATCTGCTCTTACTGTTTCAAGGAATCGTCCCAAGATTGTATTTCTTGCTCCCGGTGTAAGCATTCCGTTCACAAGACCTGTTTTTTAAAGTACAAATCTATTGCCCCTTGGTCGTATTCTTGTAGTGGGACGGAGTTTGTCGTTTGTGTCGATTGTTGGGTACCGGATTACATTGCCAGGAGAAGAAGGACCTTGAAGAGCTGTAAACCTGGGAATTCTAGGGTTTTGGATTCTGGGGACTGCACGCCGTCGTTGCAGGATGTGGTGAAGGATGCCAATTGCGCTGCGGAGGAAAAGGTTGAGGCTGCAGCCAGGGCTAGGGAATTGGCTGAGAAGAAGGCCGCTGTGGCGAGGCAGGCAGTAGAATTGGCGAGTAATGCGTTGAATTTGGCTGCCATGACAGGTAGGTATGATGATGAGAAATTGGCGTTGCAGTTGCATAGGGCCATAAATAGCTCGCCTAGAATTTCCAAGAATAGAGATTTGTGTTCCCTAAGTGTTTCAGAGCCTAGGTTTGCAGTTAGGGCTTTGGATAATTTGAAACCTTGCACGATTGTTTATAGTAGGCGTCTGAAGAAGGGTGAATGCCAGAAATTTTGTGGTGTTGAGCTGCAGACGAAGGATGGAAGGAGAAGATGTTTCAGTAAATTGTTATATCCTAGTGAGGTTGACAGTCACACAAATTTAGAGTCTGAAACTTGTTATCATCAGGACAGCTATACAATGTTTAAGAGTACACGACCTTTGTTGAAGTATAGCAGGAGGTATAAGGGTACACGACTAGATGGAAAACCAGATCTCTGTTTGTTGAAGTATAGTCGTAGGTCTAAGGGTACACAGTCTGTTGAAAAGCCTGATCAATGTTTGTTGAAGTATAGCAGGAAAAAATCTAGCTCCAATGCAGTTCTTGATGTTAAAACCTTGTTTCTTTAGACAAGTTCAAACTTGGAAGTCAAGCTTCAGCAGCTCAATTACAGATATGAAATCTCTAGCACCCTCCTCAGCTTAAGTACATTCTTTTTCTTTTCCTCTACGGGCAAGCAGCACATGGAGAGACCAACCTCAGGGATATAGGTAAAAGGAAGATTTAGTTCCTTCTTGAACTTGGTTTTTGGCCTTTTACTTAGTATTTTTATTTCTTAGTTGTAGTTGTGGTGGTTGTTGAAGAAAGGTGTTATTCCCTGTTTTTCAATTTCTTTTTTGTTCTACCTTGTAGGTGAGCCAGTTGGAATGAATGATTTGAGTTCTTATCAATAATCTGTTTATAAGTTTTGTCAAACAGGCATTTGTGTCAATTCACAAGTGTTTCAAAGTAAATAGCCATGTTGTTAGTTACTGTCAATAATAGATGCAGTTGCTGTCTGAAAGAAATTTTTTCTAATTCTCATGATTCACTAGCTGCTTTGGTTGTTCCAATCCAATTCTTTTGCATTCCATATTTTGTGGCATATCCTTCTTTTCCACAGGACGATTATAATCTTTCTAGACTTCTATGCCTTTCTGTTCTCAATTTGCTTCAGTAGTCTTTGATGCATAATGTTTGACAGTAAAGAAGAGTTAAGGGAAGGATTATCATATGAGGTTTGCTAACACCCAAAATTAGCAAGTGGTAATCTTTTTTTGTATTGATTTTCTGTTCTTTTCTTTCCATGTGGTGGACGTTTATTAGTGGTTTTGTTTGTCCTCGAATAATCTTCCATGTAGAACTTTATGTCATCTTGGTGTGTGTATCAGTAGTCATTTCTATGTCAGTAGATTGGAAGGCCTGGCTGCTATCAGGTTGGGCTTGGAGTATTAGGTCAGGCTTTCCAGCAGATGTGTAATTTTTTTCAACAAAAATGTGTTGTGCAGCTAGACTGCAATGAAACTGCATAACTTAAATCAGTGGATGGGGTCAGGCTTCCTAATATTGGGAGTGTCGCCCATTCAATGGTTCTTGTTTTGCAATTTGGTGCAGTTTGGACTACAAAACAGGAAACTCTTTTTTCAATACAAATTATCTTAATCTCAACTATCTTTTTAGTCACAATTTTATAACTGTTTTGTGTGTCTGTCCAGATAGTTAAATTCCACAGAGCATTACACAGATTAGACCCAAAATATTGAGAAACTGGCTTTTTCAGTGTTAAGCAAAAATATTCGTTAAGATTGTTGATACTGGTACGTTGTTAGGCCCTCTTCATCCAAGATGATGATAATCTTTGGTGCTGCATGTTTGTGCATGTTGTGAGCCTTTGCAGTGGGTTAAAAGTACCTCCTTTTTTAGTGCATAAATTTTCTTGTTCTCCTAGAGTCTTTTTGAATAGTGCTTGTATTAAAAAATGGTTTGTACTGAGGATCCTGTCTCTCTCCTGTGGCTTCCTTCCTCATCGCCTCCGTGGATGAGAGTTGTTCTGCTACCAGCGGCTTGCCTCCATTGGAGGTCTTAACTGTTGGGGGATTTCTTCCTTCTCCCATTAGCTTCCTCCCTTATTGTGTTCTCTTTATCTCTTCAGGTTCTTTCTATTCACTGAAGAGGCATTGGTTCCAAGGGTTCTTAAAGAAGTAATAAGGAATTTCATTTAATCTTTTCCTTACCAAATCAAATCAGGATGAGTTTAAGAAGCATCCAAAATTATTGATCATAACCAGAGTTAATTTGAAATTCCTTCATACATATTAATCATGTTAATTTTACAAGTTTTTGTGAAAAAGAGTTGTTATTGTAAATCCTTTGTCCGATTTATCATGTTAATCTTACAAGTGATGGGGTCTTATGATCAAGGTGTGTGCTGTTGCTTTTTGTTATGTTGAAACAAAAGTAGACATTCAATCAAGGTACTAAAAATTGTATTTAAGGGAGCTAACTAGGAGTTGAACATTTGCCTGAGGAAAATTTTTGGGTGAATCTCATGGGTGGTCTCCCAACTTATTAAAATCAATGTTTTGTTGAAAATGTTAAAAATCGCAATTAAGGTGGCCAGGTTAAATGCCACATCAGATCTGGCATTGCATTACCCACATGAGGTGGCACTCATAAAATCATGATTTGGCTCCTCTTCCACATAACCATGTACATAATGATCAGAAGGTAAGTGTGTAACCATATCAAGCAAGCACAACTAACTTTTCTGCCCTTACTCCTTGTGCCTTTTCCTTTTATCATGCAGTGTCTCTCCTCCGAGATGTATTACACGTGAAGAATTCTGGTTTATTGGTGGAATAAATAAATTCACATCTTCAATATTAGCCTGCAGTATCTTAAGCATATCATCTAATTCAAGCTGAGAAATCTTATCAACATTTATCGAGTCAGCATAACTAATTCTTCCACCCTTATACTCCGTGCCTTTCTTTTAACCATGCACTATCTTTCCTCCATGATAAGTTACACGTGAAGAATTCTGATTTATTAGCCAGAATAAATGAAAGATATATTACAAAAATGAACGACATTAATTTACAAAACAAGCTTATCAAGAATAAATGAAAAAAGACATTAATTATGTTCCTAAACATTCCATGATATATGATCCCATATAAGTTTGAAATTATTAGTTCAAAGAAAATAATTAATACATTTTTTTGATTCAATATATTTTACAATACACTCAATAAAAAATTATTAATTTTAAATTTAAATTTAAAAAAGTAAAATTTTTATACACAAATTTTAATAATTGAACCAATGAATATTAGTAAATATATTGAATTAAATGATGTAGCACTCATTTTCCTATCTCAAAACATGAAGCATTGACAAATAAATTAATTGCACGGCAGTTTAGTCTTTCAAATCAAAGAAATTTATAGCCTTATCTTATTGACTTGCAAATGATAATAAACTATATAAGGGAATGAATAAAGTCTACCCTTAGCTAAAAGGAAATAGTCTTCTCATTTTAATTTTTTGTCAATTCTACTTGTGAAATAAAATTTTGATACAAAGAAATAATGCATGTTTCATGATTTAGTAGTACACTTTACAATACACTTAACGAAAAATTATTATTTTTAAATTTAAATTCAAAATGATAAAAATATATACACAAATTTTAATAATTAAACCAAAATAATAATGAGTGTGTTGAATTAAAAATTGTATCACTTATTTTCCTATCTCAAAACATAAAGCAGTGACAAACAAATTAATTGCGCTGTAGTTTTAGTCTTTCTGATCAAAGAAATTTATAGCCTTAGATCATTGACTTTCAATTGATAATAAACTATGTAAGGGAATAAATAAAGTCTACCCTCAGCTAAAATGAAATAGTCTCCTCATTTTAATTTTTTGTCAATTCTACTTGTGAAAATAAAATTTTGATGCAAAGAAATGATGCATGTTTCATGGTGCCACATGAATAGAACACCTAAAATTGATCATGGAAAGACAGATAAAGCAAAACACACTGGTACAGCACAATAGAAATAGAAAAAAGAAACGAGTCAACCAAAAAAGCAACTCAATTACTATTTTCATTGCCAGTTGCAACACGAGTGCTAACACACCAATTAGCCTTAATATAAACTACAACCTTCTCAACATAAAAAAATAAAAAAATAAAAAAATAAAAAAAAGGGGAAAAATCCTATAACCTTCTACTCTTAAATTCTCAAGCTTTGGAGAAAGATAAAATTATTGAATTATAAATCTACTCCCCAAATCTAAATCTTCTTCACCTAAAAACAAATGATAAATTTAAAAACATCACTAATCAAACTCAATACAAATATTAATTACAAAAAACATAATGGTCCCACAATGTCCCCACTTATGGTAAATATATGCACATACAATTATCAAGACACTAAATTCTCATATGATAGATCTCACAAAATAAAAAGTAAAACCCTTTCGAAAAGCACCAACTTCCAAACAAAATACAACATGTAAAAGATGACAACTTATTACGAATCAGATAGTTAGTTATAGTTTTTTAAATGTACCACATCCTCCCAAAATTTAGTTTTGAACCTCCTAAAGAATTGATTGGAAGGCCTATCGAGAAATGCCTAAAATTATGAGAAATTCCTAATTGAGAGATTTGACAAAATTCCTTAAAATCCTTAGGATATTTAGCCAAAATTTTAGGGATTTAGATTACAATTGGGTTTCACTTTTACCCTTTAGTTCTTGCTAATGAGTGCCATGTTATGAGTAATGCCAAATGAGATCTTATGTGGCATTTAACCTAGCCACTTAATGACCCATTTAACATTTTCCATTAATATTAACCGTGAGTGACTAACACTTGGAGAACTTAAAAAGTTAGGTGACCATATTGTTAGGGTTATAAGTTGAGTGACAAAAACATTGATTTTAACAAATTGGGTGACCACCCATGAGATTCACCTCAACTTTTTCTTTCTCAAATATCGTTATTCACTTAGAAGATTTGATCATATAAATCGTGTAGAATGTTGGCCGGAGTAGAAATATTCAAATTGAGACAACTAATAAAAGCAAACGTTGTTGTGTATGCTTTAAGGCTTTTGCATTAACTACTAGAGGAGTGTAACTAAGTGTTTTAACTTTTAATTTTTATGTCTTTTTATTAATCTAAAAATATATAAAATATTAATTAAAATAAATATTAAATATATTA